AACAGTTTATACTACCACTCAAAATTCATCTTAATTTTTGACACAAAGGATCTTTCATGTCACACAAAAGTAGGCTTCTGATGATTTTACTGGCTGACTTATCTGTTGCTATCAGAGTTTTTGCATCAGCCAAAATAAATGGCATAAAAAACATGTCTCTGGATGACTTGCATTAATAGGAAGCTTGTTTGATGTAAAACAAAGATTATTTATTCCTCTCAAACCTAGTTCCAGCAGCTTTTTACAACATATGTAAATGTCAAGTAATACATTATTAAAATATCTGTGTGAGAAAAATCATGGGATTGTGATTGTTGTTAAAGAAATCAGCTGTTCTTATTTCAGAGAACAGAAAGAGCGGTAGCTGCATGTGATGGTCGTGTACAGTAAAAACTAGACAGCCAAAATTTGCAGAATGTGACTGGCAGGGTTTGAGACTACAGATGGTACCAACACTCATGAACTGGGAGTGATGACACTCAGAGGAGCGTTTCCCAAAGCCGTGGTGTTGTGTCCCCATGGTAACAGCTGTCAGCCTCCACCTGTTAGACACCAACTTAATAGACAATATCGCACACATCAGAGACTGTCTCTCTAACAGAAACACCCGACTGTATCTGCAAAGGCAGAACAGCTAACAAACTATTATATCTCCATGGGTTTGCATGGTAGTGTTAGCTGAGGCTAACTACAAGCTAAGCTAGGCTAGGCTAGGCTAAATATACTATAGACCAGGAGTGTCAAACTCAAATACACGGTGGGCCAAAATTAAAAACTGGGACAAAGTTGCGGGCCAGACTCGATATTTATTGAAATTTTGAATAAAAGTTAGCATGTTTTCCCTTCTCTCCAGATATATAATGGAAAAACAAGTTGCTTAAACACTGAATTTGGAACAAGCAAAGCGTAATATTCTAAACACATGAGAAATCAAATTTAAATAAAAAAAAACATCAGTGGCATTCGTTTCTTATTGTTTTGTGAACATTTTCTGCCGTGAAACCAGACTTCTTTTCATCTCCTCTACCTTCTGGTGCTTCTGCTTCATGTCCGGGTCCTTGTCTTGGTGTTTCGTTTCAGTGTCTTCTTATGTTATATTCTGTCGTTACAGCCACTTTGGCTCCGCACACAAGACAAACAGGTCTGTCCTTTACATTAATGAACAGATCATCTTCCTCCCACCTGTCTTGAAAGCTCCTGTTGTCCATCTTTCGTTTGGGCATTTTTTGGGAGGAGTGGATTAAATTTGCCCGAGGTGACTGGTAGCATGAGGTTGCTAATGAATGTCAACAGAAGGTACTTGCGGGTCTCGATTGAGACGCCAACGCACTAGCAAAGCATTCTGGGATTTGCAGTATTAGCGGTGCTAATATATGTTTACTGTGTTCAAGAGCATGTCTATTGCAGAGTCACAAGACAGAAGCATGACCATAGTGTCCCATCTAGGCTACCGTAGTAACAGGACATAAAAAAGGCATTATGAAATAAAAGCAGGCTTTTAAAAAAAATAGCATTTTGAAATATTACACAATAAAAATAACCTCTAAAAACTCTATTAAGAATGAAATACCATTTCAGAATAATGACTTAGGATTTAATATTTCCTGAATGATTTCACATTTTTTCTGTAAAAATATATATTTTACACAAATTATTCATGATTAGTAATTTCAATGTTTTATTTATTATTAAACACACTGGGCTTCCATAAAAGGCTTTAATTCTGAACTGTCCTCACCTGTAAAGCAGCACCAACAGCTCTAATAAATATCTATTTCAGTAGACTTCTTACAGTGGTTACTAGGGGCTGTTTCTGTATTAATCTGTATTTGCCCTTTCATTTCACAGTAGAGCAGTCAGGTATCACCCTGGTTGTGATTTGGGTCACATTCACAACAGACTGACAATAAAAACCAGACACAAACCTGCTGTCTCAGCTTGCTTCACGTTTTATGGCTCAGATCAGTAACATTAACCTTGAGGTCCAGTCATGAAACAAGCAAAAACGCATGGTACATAAACAGCAGCACATCACACTTACATTAACTATATGTGACACAAACAAAGTGTCAGAAGAGCATTGCCCGTGCAGTTCTAAAGTGCATCTCCAACATGACATCGACAAATATGTTCTCAGCCTTTAAGCTTAACAAGGACACACACAGGTCAGGCAGCAAAGGCAAAACAGGTGCTGCTGAGAAAGCTTCTAATCAAGTATAATGTTAGAGAAGTACATGTTACAACAATCCTAACAGGGTATATTTGAGCACCTTGAATCACTGGCTTTTACTTATAAACGCCTTTACCAAAATATCAAATATTATATTGGTAATTTTTGATTTGATCACTCATATAGTCACAGGCAAAACTATCACCAAGAAAGCTACTTTTTTTTCTAACTGCTATTAATTTAAAAGATCACATATCACAGAAGCTCAGTAAATCAAATACAATACAGCACAGATTTGTAATTTCTTATCAACAGTCTAGGAGGTGTCCTGTAAACAGGGTTGTAATTTGGAACTAATTACAGGGAAAAGAGATGAAAAGCTCTGAAAGCTGCGTATGGTAAGTTTTAGAAGTAGTCTAGAATTAAAACAGTTGATTGATGGGAAATTGTCAACTCTTTTCATAATTAACTTATTAACACTATTTCAAGGTAAACTGCCTGAAATAGTGTCTCAAATGTGACGATTTGCTGTTTATCCATGTTATATTATTGTAAACGGACAAAACGTGATCTGAAAACATGATGCGGAGCTCTGGGAATTTCTGATGGACTTGTATTTTCTGACATTATACAGCCTAAATATCAAGTAATTAAAAATCACCAGGTGAATCAGTAATGAAAACATCAGTTGCACTCACCTGAAGCAGTTGTTTCCTATAGAAATAAACAAGGATGTAACTAGAAAGTAGATTTTCTATATGTACAATTGTATATAATTTAATTTAGACAAACTTTATATTATTGCATGCTCAGATGACCCACTGT